GAAGCTCCCGGGGGTACACCGTGGTGACACCGCCAACTCTGGCCCCGAAAGACGGGGAGGAGGCCCAAGATGCGCGAGGTGGGACCGGGAGCGGAACCCCTGAAAGGCGGCGCCCGCAAGCACCCGGGGCTCGCGCTCCCTGCGCCTTTGCAGCGCAGCTGATCGCACTGCGCTTCGCTTGCCAGCGCCTGGAAGCCGCGGGAGCCGAGATTTGCTCTACTCGCCGACAGAAGGGATGGAGGCGCAGAGGACCGCTTCCTGCCCCCGCACGCAGCTACACCGCAGTGCCCCCTTCGCGCCGACCCCCGCCCGAGACGCCAAAGCCAAAACGCCAGGGGATCGCGGCTCGCCCGGGGCCCTGGCGGGTGACCCGGAGCAGCTGGCAAAAGAAGGGGCGGAGGAAAGGGGGTTGCGGGGAACCGGCGAGGCTGGACCTGTCGTCCGTACGTGCGCGGGTCGGTGGCCCAGGGCGTCCCTGCAAGGCCGCCCGCCAGCCGCAACACTTACCTCGATCCACTTCTGCGCCTCCGAGAAGGCGGGCTCGGGGGGCGGCTCCGGCTGCAGGGGCTGAAGAGCTTCCAGACCGCGAACGGGACAAGCCATTTGCGAAGCCCCGCGTCCACTCGAGCGCTGGGCCGCCGGGATGAGAACGGCCGCCGCCGCCGCCGCCGCCGCCGCCGCCGGGCTGGCCGGGGGGTGGGGGGTGCGGAGCCGGGCTCCGGGCCGGCCGGGCTCCGCGCCTGTCAAACCCCTCATTGTTCGCAGCTGATGTCACTCGCAGTTGTGAGCGGCCGCCTCTCCCAGGGACAATGTGGGACTGAGCGGCCCAGCCGCCGCGCCGCCGCCGCCGCCGCCGCAGGACAGCTCCAGAGAGGTAGGGCGCGGGCCGGGCGGGGCACCTCGAGCCGCGAAGTTTGGGGGTTCGGCCGGGGGCGGGGAGCCCGCGCCTGAATCCACAGGCCAGGATCCCAGGTTTTCGGAACTGGGAGACTGCGAGGAACACGTTCAGTGTTCCACATGGGCCTAGGCCTGCACAGGTTGGGGGCGCTGGTTGGTCAGAGGAGCCCCAGCACTGGGGGGCGACTTCCAGGACATCTGAGACCCCAGATTTGAGGCTCTCATCGCATCTGCTGTTTCTGTCCACCGGATCTGCTCCTCTCTCCATCTTCTGCCCTGGGTTCTGAGTGCCCCATCTGACATTCCCCTGCAGATCCTGGCCCAGCACACACCCCTTCCCATTCTCTGCAGCCTTTGTGAAGGGGGGGTGGTGGGAGGGGTGGTCAGACCATACTCCTCCTCCAGGGAGGAGTATGTAGAGATGCTATTTGGGGGTTCAAAAGTGACCCTTCCTGCCCTGTGACTCTTCAGCCCCTCAGCACTGACTTAGCTTCTGCTGGTCCTGGGGTCTTTAGGTGGGTGGGGTGGGGTTCAGGCTACTCACTTTAGCCTGGCCCTGCTTGGCCATGAGAGGGAGGTGCCCGCCTCCTCACTCCCCTATTCCAGGCCCGCCATCTTGAGACCTGTGGCACCCAGTGCCCCACCCGGCCCCAGCATCCTGGGAGTGGTCTGCAAGGGGATGCACCCAGGGTCAGTTGCATAGTCTCTTCCCAGAATGTGGACTCTTGTTCCCACCCAGCCCAGGATGATCATCTTGTTGGATGAACAGGGCATGTGTCCCCATGGGTTTCTTTCCTCTACAGAGATCTTAGACCACAGGAACTCCTTAGGAGCTTAAACCTTAGCTCTAGCCCTCACTGTTTCCTGGGGTTGCCCTCATTGCCTCAGAGCCAATACCTGGGATCCTATCCTCTTCCCTTCTAGTCCTGGAACCCCCTCAACCTCCAAGGCACCCCCATCCCTGCCCCCAACCCCCAGACTTCATCAGCATGCAGGCTCAGGCTGCCCAAACACAAGGGGATTGTTCTTCTTGCATGCTCAGGGTGGGGGGCTGGGAGCAGGCGGCCCACACACCCTGGCAGGCCCAGGCCAGAGGGAGGCTGGTTGCCCCGCCCTATGTCCCCAGACAGGCTCTGTCCACCCTCCCTGCTCCCATCACTGCCTCCGTTTTAGCCTCCATCACATTTGCCCAGTGGTACAGACCTCATGAGAAAAGAGTTCTGAGTCATATAGGTGGACTCCTGGGTCCTCCTAGCTCTGCCAGAGGCCTCTCATGTAAACTTACACACAATTCCCTTCCTTGTGTCTTCGATTCCTCTCTTGATTGGTGAGACACTTCCAGATGTGACAGGTTGAGCCCAACTTTGCAAAACCTGTGCCACAACCCAGCTCTTCTAAAACCCCAGGAAGAAATCCGCTCTGACTCCCCAGAAGCTTCAAACTATAGCACAGATCCCCCATCCTAGTGATGAGCTCAGAGAGCCCCTAGTCCCAGAGAAACAACAGGAGCAGGGGATGGGGGTGCTAAGGAAGAAACTGGGCATCCCATCTAGGTAGATCCTGCCTTTCCCAGGTGGCTTGTCCCCCATGCTCTGGGTTCTCTCAGCCCTCCCTCACTGCACCTCAGGGACCCTTAGCCTCAGCTCTGGCCTCTAACACCTCCAGGCTAAGTGAGTCCTGTCTTCTTTCTGCACACTGATTCTGATCTTGTCTCCTGCTTACCTGAAGCTCTCTGTGTAGTAGAAAGACAGGCTCAGGGCCTCTCTGGTGGCCCTGTCAACCAGAGTTCAATCCCCGGCCAGAGAGCTGACCTACAAATGGCGCAGCAGACCTTGCCTGTCTCACCTACTGCTCCCCTCAGTAGTGTATTTCAGTCCATCTGCCTATTCTGCTCCCCACTCTGTCTCTGGTGAATCCTCTCACTCCCTGCACCTCTGGCCTACACCCCAGTTCTTCAATGTAAAAATTTAAAAAAAAAAAAAAAAGATAGGTTCAGAAATCCCCATGGGGGATTCTTTGAGTTGTAGGCGCATCTTTGAGGGGCTCATAGGCCCGAGTGACCACATCTGAATTGAAAGGTTGGAGATGCTTTCACTAGGAGGTGGCATTTGAGAAGGATTTTGACAGAGTGGGGAGGATGGGCATTCAAGCTGGGATCAGCTGGGCAAAGGACCAGAGGCCTGGAGGCGCTGGGCGTGTTTTGCAGCTTGGTGTGTGTGGGGGTTGGGGTGGAGGTGAGACAAGAGAAGTTGGCAAGAGCCACATCATGAAGGACCCTGACTACCTGTCTATGGGGATCAGCCTTTATTTTTTGGGCACTGGGGAGCCAAGGATAACTGTTGAGCCGCAGAGTGACAGAGTCTCCAGCATGAAGAACGGAAACTAAACAGGTCTTTCTCAGCTGGGTGAGACGTGAGACGATGGGTACCAGTGGGTGGGGCTGACTCCACTCTGACTCCCCAGAAGCTCTTGGGCCTGGGCCTGCTTTAGTTTCCCTTGGTCTGAAGCCTCCTTGGGGAGGCTGTAGCACTTCTGGCACCCAGAGCTTCCTTCCCCACCAGGCACTGAGTCCACAGATAGTACTGGTCAAAGCCTGGAACTTGAGGACCCCAGGCTATGCCTCCTTCTGCACCCCTTCCCCCTTCAGCCGGTTCTCCCAAGAACTGGGCATGAATGGCCGTTCTAGGAGACTGCAAGGCTGAGAGGCTGGGGTGTGAGTGTGTGGGTCTGAAAACGTAGTGGCAGAGCTAATCAGGGAGGGTGAATATGCCAGAGAAGGGGTCAGGGAGTCAGGATCCCTCAGTGCTGGCCCCCCCAGGCCCACTGTCTACCTCCCTGCCACGCCCTGCCTTTCCTGATGCCCTGAGCCATTCCCCAGCATCACTGGGTGTGGCCAGCATGGCTGCTGTGGAGTAGGAGTAGGAGGAGGCTGCTCCATAGGAGGTTGGAGGAGCTGAGGGGGATGTTGAGGGATGTGAGGTGGGGGGTAAACTGTGGGGCTTGAAGCTACCCCACTTCCTTATCCAGGCAGGTCCTAAGCCTTAGTTGGTCCAGCCGCTCTGGCCTGCAGGGCCTAGGGAATCCCCCAAGGGGCAGACTAGTTCACTTGAATTGCCTGGCCCGGGAGCCCTCCCCTCTCTGGATTGTTCTTGCTCCAGAACAAAGCCAGGGTGGACACTTGATCCCTGCATGTGTGGGGCGGGGGGAGCTGGCTAAGCCCCTGGCCCTTTGATTGGGCAGCTGTCATGAGAGAGAGACAGCTGGGGGGGAGGGGCAGGAAGGGGCAGCTACCATCGCTTACACAGCTGTCACCCCCCCTCCGCCCCCTTCAGCCTGAGTGGCAAGAAGCCAGGGACAGAAGGAGTGGGCACAGCATCTGGGGAGGGGACCTGGGAGCAGGAGGGAACGTTCGAGGTCAGAGGCCTGGTCTGAGCTTGGTATGTTCTGCCAGGGAGCCCTGCTGACCAGACGGGGCTGGACACCCCCAGAGGTGAGCTGGAGGTCAGTGTAGCATGTCTCATTGCTACCATGTGAGCAGCTTGCAGGGACCCAGAACCCACCAGGCTGGGGCAGCAAATGACTCCCCAGAGCCCGGGGTGAGGGCTAATAAGGCTGCTTATTCTCAGGGCACCTTACAAGAATAATTTGGGATATGTGTCAGCACCCCTTATTTCTACCTAAAGGCAGCAGAGACCTTGAGGATCCCTCAGAACAGCAAGGACACAGAGAACACCTCTCCCCTTTCCCCTGCACACAGACATAGAACAGGTGGGTAAACTGAGATCCAAGTCATGTGAGTGCCTGACCAAGGTGACCCACTGAATTTGGGGCAGTGGGGCTTTGCTGCAGAGCTAAGTATCTTTGTCAGGTGGGAGTCCCAGTTCCGGCACAGCCTTCTGTCCTATTATTCCTGGAACCTCATGCTCCGGAAGTGATGTGGAAATGGTATGGGGACAGCGTTCTGGAGCTTAAGACCATGGCTCTGGACAAGCTAGCCAGGCCAAGGTCTCAGAAATTACTAAAGCCTGGTCCTAAAACCTTGGAAGGTCCCCCCTCTCTGAAGAAGATTGACAGACCCAGGAGCAGCAGGAAAGGGGAGGCAGATTGGGGCTCTGACAGCCCCAGACTAGCCGGCTGGACACACTCATGCCCACTTCTCTGTGACCTTGGGCAGGGTACAGACCCTCTCAGGCATCGGGTTCCCCTTTGGTAAATTGAACGGTTCCGCTAACCAGTGTGTTCCGGGCACCTTCTCTGGCTTGGCTCCGGGTGGCGCGCCAGGGACACAAGGAGAAGGAGGCGCCTTGGCTCCTGCTCTAAGGGGCTCCCGGGCTTGGCTGTCCAGGGAGACAGAAACCAAGCACGTCATCACAAGCGCTTTGATGGGGGAAGTGCAGGCAGCTGGGGGAATGTTATTAGCAAGGGCAGCCAGCGTGAGACTGGCCAGGATGTTGAGAGCACAGTGCATCCACCATCAACCTCTGACCTCTGGAGGTTCTATGGACAGAACTTGAATAGAGGAGCAGGTGCCTGGGGAGGCAGCACTTTTCGGGTGCTTGGGAGGAGGACAGCGTTGTCACCCCCTTTATATAAGGTGAAGAAACAGAACCTCGTGCCACACTGGCTTGCTCAGGTTTCCTGAGAAAGAAGACTGAGACACACCCCCTCCCACTCCATGCCCAAGCCCTGACTAGCCAGGGGCTTCAGGAGAGGGCACTGGGCAGGGCTCCATGCCCTGTCCTTATGTGAGGATATAGCAGGGGGCTGAGAGGACGGCACCCAGAGGTTTCTGGAGTGCTCCAGACCCAGAACACCCTCCTTCACTCCCACACCCTGCGGGCAGGAGGAATTTGCAGGGTTAGGACTCAATCTTGGCTCAGGCTTGGCACCAGCTTTCTGGTCCCCCAGTGAGCTCCTCATCAAGGCTGAGCCTTGGTGGCAGACAGCAGTTGGAGGAGAGGGATTTCCAAGCAGGATTAAGGTTCAGGATTAAGTAGGGGCACGGAATAGGGTCGGGTGGGGAGGGCTGGCGGGTAGGGCAGGCTGGCGGCTGGGCTAATCCTAGGGGCTAATCTCTGGCTCCTCCTTCCTTCATCAGTTAAAGGCCTTGACATTCCCCAGCCCCCCAAATTCCTTTTTTACCCATCACCCAGTCCCATAGGGAAGTATTTTCTCTATTTTATGGGTAAGAAAATTGAGACTCAGAGCCCAAATGACTTGTTTCTGGTACAGTAGAAAGTGCCCCAGGCTGGGAATTTGGCCAGTGTGGACACTTCTTACGTCCTCAGCACTTAGGAGCCGGCTGGGAGCACCATTATGCAGCCTGTGATCCCGACACCCGTTCCCTGCCTGGGACTGCTTGGAGCTGTCTGCAGGGAGCTTTGGCTCCAGTGACCTCTAGTTCCTCTGGCCTCTGGAGGTGGGGCGCCCAGACCACCCCTACAAGCCTTTGCCTCACCATCTTCACTTATCCAGCTTTTACCACACCCCAACCCCCACAGCTGCTGTATTTTTCTCTCTAGCTGCTCCTCCCTGCTCTAGCCAGTGGGGCTCTGGCCCCGGACACAAGTGACTCTTGTTTGAAGTAACCTTTCAACCTTAACTAAACCTTCAAGGCTCATCCCACAGGCATCTCCTTTTTTTAAGAGGTGAGAGAGGGTCTCCTCCTCTTTGGCTCTCCTTAGGCCTCCTAGTTAATTCTTCTGATATGGGGGGGGGGGGAAGGGAAGAATACTTGTGGACATGGGTGCCCACCCTTGCGTGTGTTTCTCTCACTTTAACTCATAACTCTTTAGGATTTGGAACTGGCATCCCCTTCTCACAGCTGGGGAAGCTGAGGTCCCGCTGGGTCCCACGAGGTCCCACGGCTGAGAGCTACACACAGGCACACTGGCTTGGAGGGCGTCTGAAGCTTGGGCTCCACTCTGCCTTTTCTGAGGGTTTGACCAGCCCAGTTCTGGGGCCCCTGTGTCAGGGCAGGGGCCACAAAAGAGGGCTGGGCTCCTTCCTAACCCCTTTCCCGCTACCCCCACCCCCACCTCAGAACCGGCCAGGCTGCGGTGTGGACACACTCCCAGGCCGCTGTGGCCCCAGCCCCGCCTGACAGGATGAGTGGATCTGATGCGGGGCTGGAGGAGGAGCCAGAGCTGAGCATCACCCTCACGCTGCGGATGCTGATGCATGGGAAGGTGCGTGGTGGGGCTCCCCTACTGCTTGGGAGGGGCAGAGGGCGCGGTGAGATAAGGCCTGGCTCACCGGATGCCTCCAGCTTGGCTGAGGGGACCCCTGCCCATGGACTATTGGTGCCTCTGACTTCACTCTTATCTTGCTTGCAGGAGGTGGGCAGCATAATCGGGAAGGTAGGTGCCCAGCATTGTTCTGTGCGTCTCTTTAACCTGAGGCCTCCACCCAGGACAGGAGACAAAGGCTGCTCAGGCTAAAAGTGATTCTCTTTGTCTCCCGCAGAAAGGAGAGACTGTAAAGCGAATCCGGGAGCAGGTGAGGATGGAGTTTGGGGGGAAGAGCCCAGGACACCTGATTTGCAGGGGAGGGGCGATCCCTGCCCCATCTCTGGGAACCCTGTCTGAGTGCCCCTGAGGGTGGCACGCTCCTGCCTTGGCTCGGGCCTGGTGAGTGGGTGGGCAGACAGGCTCCTGGTGAGGAAACAGTGTGGTAGCTCTGCTGCCCGGCTCTTGTCCTGTGCTCACAGAGCAGTGCCCGGATCACCATCTCTGAGGGCTCCTGCCCTGAGCGCATCACCACCATCACTGGGTCGACGGCGGCCGTCTTCCACGCGGTCTCCATGATCGCCTTCAAGTTGGACGAGGTCTGTGCTGGCCTTTGTGGGAGGCCAAGGGGGGTCCCAAGGAGGAACAGGACCCTGGTTCCAGTGGCCGCTCTGGGTGGGAGGGCAAGCCCGGCAGGGTTCTCTTCTTGCAGTGGGATGGGGAGCAGCAGGCTGGTGCATCGGCAACTCACAGTTTTCTTGCCTAGGACCTTTGTGCTGCTCCTGCAAATGGTGGGAATGTCTCCAGGCCTCCAGTGACCCTGCGCCTGGTGATCCCTGCCAGCCAGTGTGGCTCCCTGATTGGGAAGGCCGGCACCAAGATCAAAGAAATCCGAGAGGTGAGAAGGAGGAGATACCGTCCCGGCCAGCCAGCCCTCCACTTCCGAATGGGGTTCTGGGCTATGGCTTCTTATCCCTTCGGGAGCTCTGAGCCCCGGTAGCCCTTCTCTGGGACATGGGAGTAGCCAGAGGGCACCCTTTTCTCTGCTTGCAGACCACAGGTGCTCAGGTGCAGGTGGCAGGGGATCTGCTCCCCAACTCCACAGAGCGTGCCGTCACTGTGTCCGGGGTGCCTGATGCCATCATCCTGTGTGTGCGCCAGATCTGTGCTGTTATTCTGGAGGTGCCACTCTGGGGAAGGGGGGAGGGTGCAGGTGATGGTCCCTGAGCCTGCCTCCACACACCGTAAGCCCTACACACAATGCCAGGTGTGCCAGGTGGGGGCAGGCGGGGCTGCAGGGATGGATTAGGAGCTCCAGCATGTCGGGAAGTATTTACCTGTGGATCACAGGGAGGGCCTTAAGGACATACGCCCTCTGTGGAGGTGTCAGTAGGGCCTGAGAGGGTTCTGACAGAATCTCCCCACTTGTGCCTTCCAGTCCCCACCCAAAGGAGCTACTATCCCATACCATCCAAGCCTCTCCTTAGGTACTGTCCTTCTCTCCACCAACCAGGTGAGGGGGACCAGAGGGAGGGGTGGGAAGTATTACTAGAGAAGGTACTGAGATGGGGGATGGATGGAGGAAGGAATTGGGGGTCCACAAAAGTGGGGAGGGGGTCCATGAAAGTGGGGAGGAGGTCTGGACTTGTCACAGCAATCCGCTTGTCACCTTTTGTCCCCACAGGGCTTCTCCGTCCAGGGTCAGTATGGAGCTGTGACTCCCGCTGAGGTGAGTGACCCTGAGCCCAGCAAGGCCCTTCCTGAGCCACGCCTTCTCTGACTTCTGACCTTCCTTCTCCGGACAGGTCACCAAGCTGCAGCAGCTCTCGGGCCACGCTGTTCCCTTCGCCTCACCCAGCATGGTGCCAGGTGAGAGTCCCTGCAGAAGGAGCAGGGACAGATCCCAAGGGGCCAGACACCCCCCGAGCATGATAGGGAGGCAGGAAAGGCCCAGAACCATGCCTGATCCTTCTTCTCCTCACTCAGGACTGGATCCTGGCGCACAGACCAGCTCACAGGAGTTCCTGGTTCCCAACGATGTAAGCAGGGAATGGGCATTTGAGGGTGGGTAGGAGCTACTTGGGGTGGGCTCTGGGCCTCACCTCGGATTGAATTCCGCCCTCCCCCCAGCTGATTGGCTGTGTGATCGGGCGCCAGGGCAGCAAGATCAGTGAGATCCGGCAGATGTCAGGGGCACACATCAAGATTGGGAACCAAGCGGAGGGCGCTGGCGAGCGGCACGTGACCATCACTGGTTCGCCGGTCTCCATCGCCCTGGCCCAGTACCTCATCACTGCCTGGTGAGTATGGGGGGGGGGTAGGCGTGTTGCAGAGATCGTGGGGTTTAGACGCCCAAGAAACTCAGGAGGGATGGGGAGAGATGACCTTTCTCCGTCTGGGTCTGTCCTCTGCTTCCCCAACCCTGCCTAACTCGCTCCGTGTTGCCCCATCTTCCCCTCTGTATCTGCCACTCACGCCCTTCCCCGTCCCTTTCTGTGTCCCCTGGGTCTTCAGCCTCCTCTTTGACCCCCTCGCCCCATGCTGTGTCAGCTTGTCCTAGCTTCCCATCCTCACCCTTCTGCTTTGCCCTGTTCTCCCCAAACCCGCCCATCCCCATGTCAGTGGTCTCAACTCCCCACCCCTCCTTTTCATCTAATCTCACCCTGTATTTGCCCTCACTTCCCCCTCTCTCACCCCCCTCTTTCCTCTCATCTCCCCCCATATCCCTCTTTCCAGTCTAGAAACGGCCAAGTCTACCTCTGGGGGGACGCCCGGCTCAGCCCCTGCAGACCTGCCTGCCCCCTTCTCACCGCCCCTGACTGCCCTGCCCACAGCTCCTCCAGGCCTGTTGGGCACACCCTATGCCATCTCCCTCTCCAACTTCATCGGCCTCAAGCCTGTGCCCTTCTTGGCTCTACCACCTGCCTCCCCAGGGCCGCCACCGGGGTTGGCTGCCTATACTGCCAAGATGGCAGCAGCCAATGGGAGCAAGAAATCTGAGCGGCAGAAATTCTCCCCCTACTGAGGCCAGCTGAGGCACAGGCTTGAGGGGTGGGCAGGACCACCGGCCGGGGGCTGTCTCTACCCTCAACCTGCCCAAGGAAACTCCACCCTGGAGTCCCAAATGCCGCTAATGCCCAGACGCATGGATGCACCTCCCCACCCCGCCCCAGTCTGTGGGAGTTTCTCCTCTCAGAGCACCCAGTCTGGGGGAGTTTCTGGCCTAGTGTTCTGGGAGCTGTGGCCCCAGGGAAGGGGTTCTACCCCTCAGCTCTGTTCTTGAATGCAGGGAGCATCTTTAGTGCCCCTACTTTGGGGAGTCATTCATGTACTCTCTACCCCTTAGGGCTTCCCAGCCGACTACCCCCCTGTGGGGATCAGGGAGGAGGGTTGGGGTCCAGCTGGGGGCCATGCTTCTCCCCACCTCCCTGCAGATTCCTGCTGCTTCCACTGAAACCCTTTTAACTGGAATGGACTGGTTGGGCTTGGCAGAGGCGACCCATAGAGGGAGCACTGCCAGGTAGCTGGGGGAGTGGCATGGGGCAGGGGCCGAGTTCTCAGCAGCAGACACTCTGTACAGTTTTTTTCAATTCCTGTTTTTGAATAAATATTCTCAGAGACCAGGAAGCTGTGAAACACTGTGGGTATTGGGATGCAACCCCCTGAAAATGGGTGTAGCTGAAGTCCCAAAGGACCCCCAGTTGTGAATCCATCAGTTCCAGTTGGGCCCTGGTCCCTTCTCCATGCCAGATTGGGGCGCCAGAGCCCTGAGGGGGTCGTGTTAGCCAGCCTCCTGCCTCTGGCACCAGGCTGACCAGTTGTTTTCCAGGCATTTTAGAAGCCGATGGAGGAGCTGCAGTAGCTTTGTCCAGTTTCTTCTGGGTGCAGATGCCAGGGAGTCTCCCACTGGCTCCTCCCGCTGTGGCTGTAACGCAGATCCTGCCCCGCTTGGCCCACCCCTGTGGCTGTGAGCTCTAGAGCCCTGTTATCTTGTGTCCCTGGCACCTCTACTCCTTTGGCCTGGGGACCGTCCATATGTACCCAGAACAGCTAAGCTAGAGCAGCCCTAGACGTGGTCCAGGCTAGAGATGGGGAAACCGAGGCCCACGAGGCCCGTGGGCTGCAGGACCTAGCATTCCTGGCTACCAAAGTCTTTGGCCCTCACCAGGCGCAGGTACACGTTCTCCCAGTTGGAGCCAGAAGCCCAGGCAGGCCACCTGCTACAACCTGTGCAGGAGGCTGGGTGGTCCCGTCTGATACCCCCGCCCCTGCTCTCCAGTCCTGGGCTCAGCTTGGGAGAGAGATGGCTCACGTGGCTTCTGGCATGTGCAGCTCCTCCCTTCTTGCCAAATCCAAGTCTTGTTCTGGTGCCTCAGAATGACCGAGGGCAGGGTCGCCTGGAGGTCCCTGGAGGTGCTGCAAGAGTGCCCGTGGATGCCAGGTCCTTGGATTACAGGCCCGTGGTGGCGGGGGCAGGACTTGGCGAGCGAGGCGGCCCAGTGCCCGGCGCACAGGGCGCTGCAGTAGGCCATACAGAAAGGGGTGAACTGCGAAGGCTGAGTAGGCCACCCAGGTGACAGCGGTTTCCACTGCTGCGGCCTGCACAGCAGGCGCCAGACACGCACAGCCGTAAGGAAGCCAGCAGGCTGCGAATTGGCCAACGGCCAGCGCTGGGGCCAGGGCTGCTTTGCCGCCCGGCAGGCGAGGCCTGAGGGGTGGCAAGATGGAGAGGCGGCTATCTAGAGAATCAGAGCGTGGACGGGACTCCCGCACCGGCCTTGGGGGCTGCAGGGCAGCGCGGCGGGCCACGAGGAAGATACCGCTATAGGCCCCAAGCAGCAGGAAGGTGGGCAAGGCGAAGGCCAGCAGCGCCCAGAGCGGCCGGAAGGGCCCGAGGCCCCCGGCTAGCACGGAGCAGCGAGCTGGGGCGGGGGGTGCGGAGGGCGGCCCGAGTAAGGAGAGTGCGCCCAGCAGGCCGGCCACCGCCCACAGGATGGTGAGCACCAGAGTAGGCGGAGGCCAAGCGCTGGGCCGCAGCGGTTGCACTATGAGGTGGTAGCGCGCCAGGCCGAGCGCCGCCACGCCTAGCGTGCAGGCGGGCAGTAGCGCGGCGGAGAGGAACCGCGCCGCGCGGCAGGGTGCCGGGCCCAGGTGCATGCGGCCCAGCCCCGGCGGCGCCGCGGCCAGCAGGCCCAGCGGCATAATGGAGGCCGCCGCTAGCAGGTCCACGATGCACAGGTGCATCAGGTAGAGCGCGTCGCGCAGTCCTGGCGTGCGCAGGACCACGACTAGCAGCGCACCGTTGCCCAGCAGCGCAGCCGCCTCCAAGACTGCCGCCAGGACCCAGGCCATGGAGCCTGCTACCTCTGTGGCCGTCAGCCCTGTGGTGTTGCCCATTCAGTGCTCAGGCTTCACCCTGTGCTAGGAGGCAGAGGCAAAATGGAATGTTCCCTCCCGCCACCCCC